ACTTCATGAAGTTATCTGGGCCCTATATCACCAACATTCGACCAGCTAGAGAAGTTGGTAACCCCACAGTACATGACCTTCGTGATCTCCAGTTCTCTGCAGATGGTCGAATCCGGTACAAGTTGGATTTTGAGTTTCACTGGGAAGACCTGCCTTAGCGAGTCCACATCCCCAAAGGACCGTTCCACTGGGACTGACTCTTCCCTGCTCAGTTACCAATTACTGTCAGTAAATTCAATGACCTGCTGGTAATGAAACCAGTACTACCAAGAGTGGCTCACCAGTACTATGACAACCTCCCCCATCAATAGATAGTGTGAAAACCAGTTCACACAGCACCTGAGTGGGACTTTGATTAAGGTTAGACAAGTAAAACAACCTGGTTATGGTTAGACAAGTAACACAACTTGGGTATGTTTAGGAAAGTAAAATAACTTTGGTTATATTATGTTCGTATGAAAAAAAAGCCTATATCATGGCATATTCTGCCTAAGTCACTTTTATGCAATCACTGTTGTGTCTTTTCTTCTTTACAAACTTGTTCATACATCTGGTTGAACTTACTGTTTCAATATTAATAAAAAATGTGTATGTGTTTGAGGAAAAATTTACTTTTTCTTGCAACAACATGTAAAAATATTGATATTCCACAGAGGTATACAATGTGAAAAATATTAATAATGCAAAGGTTTGAATTTGTTGATACAGCACAAAAATGAAGTATGTCAGTTTTTCAACGTGCAGACTACTGGGAGCACTGCTGGTTGTGTAGTCTGACAGCAGCAGGAAGGAAGGACCTTTGCCATCTCTGTCACCACTGGTGACATTAGTCTTTAGACAACAACTATATACTGTCTGTACTGCTAAGGGCTGTTGCTTAAGGAAGCAAAAGACTAAAGATACAATTTTAATCCATTTGGATGATTTTTCGTGTTATATTTTCCTCTGTTTCACAGTTTTGTCTTTGTGCTTTTTAGACTTTGTTTTTGAAAGCAGTACATGGAAGGTTTACCGCCCTAGCTGGTTGGATCCGAAGTCTGCGAAAATTCACTATCTTTCCTTTTAAATGTGTTTTCAGGCAGATAATTCATTTAACAATTCATTTGCATAAATGTGCTGTTGGGATAAGGTCGAAATCAAAAAATTGCATTAGTACTGCAAAAACCAAATGTACTCTAAAATACTGTAAATCTGGTTACCAAAGTGTATTAAACATGTAATATTTGTATATCATTGTTACTGTGCAACAAGTCATGACTTCGGCAGACTAATGACGTAGTGGCAAAGCTCAAATAACATTCTGTATGCACAAACTGCATCGCAGCATTTGAAGTTAAATAGTAGCACCATCATTATATCAACATCATGCTCTTCTCATTACATATCTACTCATGCATAGACGAGAGCTCTTACATCAACCACCATCCTTCCCTCTAGGATTGTATGTCCTCTTCTCATCTCTCTCTCTCTGTCAGAATTGATGGCATTTGGCTCAAATAGCCAATGTCCCTTAGTATACCCAGAGGAGCATGCCAAAAGCACCAGAAGTACTCTCTGCCTGGATCCATGTCAGGCATACCAGCTCCTGATCAGCCACAAGAGAACGTGAAACTCTATGGTGGTGTGAGGAAATCAGATACTCAGACATAACATATTTATTGCCCTCAGGGTCAGTTTTCTGTATTATTTTCATGCAGAAGTCAACTGTTAATTGTTCTAACACAATTAGAAGAATCTGGGTTTCTAGATTTCAAAGACAGCTGTTACTTTGGATAATTTGTTAGAATTGACAGCTGTGAATTCTTATGATGTAATGAGAGCAACTACATGATTTCCCTTAAGTGTTAGAGGAAGTCAGTGTCTGTCACAGTGATTTATTCCTCTAATATGGTGACTGTTGGATATGCCTGTTGGCTGCTGTCCACAGTTTAAAGCAGTACAGTGAGTCGGACTGCCCAAAGTCACACAACTAAATTTATCCATCTGTTCTCAACTGTTAGCGGCAGCTAATTCCTCATTATCATCTGTAACACTTCTTATGAGCCTGTTTTGCTTGTTAGAGGTGTGAGCTACTGTGGAATGCAAAAGAAATATTTTGCTTGGATTGACATGACAGGGTTTGATTCATGTGTATTTTATCAGGCAGCTCCAACTCTCTACTTCTCTTGGGGAAAAAAAGTATAATTTTGACAATTATTGGCCTTTTTGAGATATAAACATTTGATCAACTTTCATAAAGTGATCCTAGGAGCTTCAGTGAAAAGCAACTGGACTTCTCTTTCAGGCTTTTGAAGACGTTTCACCTCTCATCCAAGAGGCTTCTTCACTTTTACCTAACTGGCAAGAAGATTCATATGTGTACAGACTGAGATGAAAAAAAAAAAAATCATTGCTATTACGTGTAACTTACTGAAAACAGCTTTCTCTAAAACAGTTTCTTTTTATCCGATTTTACAGTTTTTGATTGATTACACACATTTCCTGAAAGCATGCCTCATACTCTCAGAACTCTTCACACAAATCAAAAAACACACACACAATGTCACGATTTACACACAAAGGCTCAAATGCAGACAGACAACTCGACCACCAAACAGTTGAAAATAAAAGAGAATGTTTATTCACAAATAAACACTAATAGTGAAATCCAGTAACCAACAAGGCAGCAATTCGAACTACCACTAACAAATGCTCACTATCAGAAATCTTATCAAAACGTCCTCTAGAGGACGAAGAACTATGATTACAAATTATAAACAAACTTCCCGCAAGAATACTAATCAAACACTAGAACTATCAATTGAGTAGACGAGAGACTGACAAACGACAAACTGGAAGCAAGGGTTGGGGAGCCGGAGGACACGGAGGTGGACCAGATGATTACAACGGAGGGACACGGAGGGTATGGAGAGCTGGAGCCAGAAGAATCCAACGGAGAGGAGTTGGGGATGAGAAGTGGACTTCAGAGGCAGCGAGCATGGCGAAAACTGGAGCACA